GGGGGAGGCAGAGGCAGCAGGAGAGGGAGAGGCAGTTGGGCGGGGCAGGCAATGGACTGTGTATGTGACTGTGTGTGTGTGTGCATGTGTGTGTGTGTTCTTAAAATTGCACCACAACAGCCCCTATTCCATCCAGACGAGTAGATACGAGTTGAGCCAGCTCAAAAATTAAAGAATTTCACCTCTTTAGCAAGCAACGTGAATCATAATAGAAGTATTCAGAACTGTGTTTAGCTGGGGTTTCTTCGCGGCAACAGCTCCTCTTTTACTTTCCCTCACATGTACAAGGCTTCCCACATTGATGGTGATTGAGCGGAAGCTGCCCAAATCCCCGTGTACCTTAACGGCCCACTTGCACGTTATTACAGGAGGCAGGGTAAAAGGGAAGGTATGCTCCTGTGCATTTCTCTTCAGATCTTCACACTACTGTTCATTTCACTTCAGATCTTCAGCTTATACTTAGTCTTTGTGTCTATCCTTCATCTTCATACTTCCATTCATTTCACTTTCGATCTTCATATCGTCTGTTCTCTCAACGATGCTCATTCGTATGTATTTGCTAGTAGCACAAAAGGGAAGGGTGGAGGGGAGGTGGAGGGAAAGGGATAGAAGGCCGAGTTCTATAGGAGTGTGGGGTAGGGGGAGGTGGAGGGTAAAGGGCAGGAAAGAAACATGTGAAGGGCAGGATAGAGTATGACATTCAAAGGGCACGGGAGAGGTGTATGACGAACTTCACAGAATTCTCAACACTCACCGCTGGAACAGACTACTCTAGAATGTTGCAAAAGATTATTTTTTGATCGAGGAGCAGTTATTGCCTATGGTAAGTGGCCACCCCTATAGACCGGACAGGACTGGACTGGTTCGGGTGTGGACTATGGAAGCACCGCATCCAATTTTCACAGTTACAATTGCTGCATCGAATGGCGCGCTGCAGACAAATGTCACAGGCTACGTGGCTCCTACATGCTAGGAACACAGAGGCACGTCAACCACAATTATAGAGGCATTGCTGTTCCAGCCCTTGTTTACAAATTGGACAAGACATGTCAGGGTGCCGTACATTAGTACAGTACTGACTGTCGTCGTACATATGGAAGCAAAAACTCGCATGGACTATCCCTTCATAATCCTCACGGCACAAGGCATGCGAGACACATGCTAGTTTAATCTCCGTCAGGTCATCACAATGCGGCATGGAGCATCTTTCTTGGCTTTCCTCAGTATTCATTCCTTCTCTGTGGGCAGAAGACGACAGGGAGGATCGGTCCAAAGCAAGAGCATTCAGCTGCTGCAGGATTCGGTCCGCAACAGCTTGCCCTGGTGGTGATAAACTATCAGCACATCGCTCTGCAAGTGCATATAGAAGTCTATTTTCCTCCTCGGGAAGCTGTGTCTGTCGTTCATCTGGCAAGGAAGAGGGAGATCTGTCTGCGGTTGTCGTAGGGGTATGACCAACACTGCCTGTGGGACAAGCTAGGAGAGGATGTGGAGGATGATGGCACCGGGGATAGTCCACGCAGTAAAGACATATATTTTCTATGACAGCTTCCTGGAAACATTGACAACACATGGCATGTTGCTAACATGTCATTAGTATGGAAGGCTGACGTGCACAGTTATTTCGGCATTGCAGATCAAGGCCCCAACGGTATGCTGGGCAAGTAATGAAGGGAGAAGGGGGATGAGCACAAGACAAGGGATCACAGTTTTCGTGGGAGAGGCTGGCAGCGACCATCCCTTCATAGTGTTTGGAGTAGAGGCTATTCCGCATGTGTGTGTGTGTGTGTGTGTGTGTGTGTGTGTGTGTGTGTGTGTTCGTGTGTGTGTGTGTGTGTGTGTGTGTGTGTGTGTGTGTGTGTGTGTGTGTGTGTGTGTGTGTGTGTGTGTGTGTGTTTGCATGTTTGTGTTTGTGTGTGCCTGCACATGCATTTTTTTCCTTTTTCTATATTCCAAAATCAATCAATCAATAAATCAATCAATCAATCAATCAATCAACCAATCAATCAATCAATCAATCAATCAATCAAACAATCAACCAATCAATCAATCAATCAATCAATCATCAATCATTTATCAACCAATCAACCAATCAATCAATTAATCAATCAGTCAATCACTCAATCCTTTTTTCCTTCTTTTTTTGATGGTCCCATGCACATCCCACAAAGAAAGAAAAACACAATAAAATCCAATGGGGGGGGGTAAACCCCCAACACCCGACACCCCCCCACGCCTTTACTTTCCCAGCCCCCCCCCCAGAAGGCCATGTAATGGGGCTCCAAAGGCCGTACATACGGCCCGTACCCGAGGCGGGGGGGGTGTATGGACGGTCGTACGGGAAAATGTATGGCCCGTCCCCGTACGACGGGCACACACTGCGACCGAACCACTAACAGTTGAGCTAATAGAAGGCGATGCCACCATCTCTGTGTCTTGAGTGTATGTCTGTGTGCGCACATGCGCACGTGGTTTTTGTTCAGTTGAGGGCATACTCACACTAGCACTTTTCTAAATGCATTTGACTCACCAATGCTTAGTTGGTACACCCATGAACTATTGAAATACCGATCCGAGTTCGGATATCAATGCACGCATATTAGTAGGTAACTCGGAATGTACATGGGGTAGGTAAGTTTGACGATGATACCTCTAGGCCATCGCCCTTTAAACCACCACTACCTCCACCAGTGTTGGGAAAAATGGGAAAAGTGGTCGTTTTCCCATTTTTTCCGAAGTTTTCGAGGGTTGGACGAAGCTCGGCAGTTGGCCCTTGAGGGCCCCTTCAAAAAACCAAAAGAAAAACAAAAGATCATGTCGGGGAAGGCCGTGCACCAAATTGTGCTCACACCAAAACTCGCACATTTGTATCTAACCGCTATAGTGGCCAGTTTCAGGTTTTCATTGTTTGTGTTTCATGTTTTCTTTCTTTTTTCAGTTTTGGTGCCCCGCTAGAGAGGCATGGCGCAGTCCACGGGCTGCTGACACTTTGTGAAGGAGAGCATGCCCACACTATTACTTCGCAGAATGTATGAACCTGCTTTCCCGCCCTAAGTTCAGTTTCAATTTTTTTTGCCTTTTTCCTTCTTCCGTGGACTTGACACCCTTGTCGTAACGCCCTCACTAAGGGCATACTCACATAACAACTTTGGGTTGTGTATCTACCTGGTATCACGTCCCGAGGGGTGTTTGTTTTTTTTCTTTTATTTTTTTGGTGCTGCAAGCGGGTCTTTTTTTTTAAGTCTAGCCGTGCTTTTTCTTTTCTTTTTTCAGGAGAGTACCAGAAAAGAAACAGAATAGAACCCACACTCGACAAAACTCGATACGCAGTGAAAATCAGGATCGACAAAAACAGGCTCGGAGGTAGTGGTGGTTTAAGAAAAGAAAAGGGAAAAAAAAAACATTTTGACTCCAATTACAGCCAGAGTAGGATAATCTGACCTGAAAAAGTCTTGCTGTGAGTATCCGTGAAGAGCCGATCAAAAGGTGAAGGTTGCGTTTTCCCGAGTTGTGCAACTTAGAGCATAGTCACACTAAATGTATCTGACTGTAATTACAGCCTTAGTTGGATGCATATGGCGCCAATTCCGTTCAGAAATACGTAAAAGAGTTTTATTGTGAGTATGCATTTAGTATGATCATATACGTAGTTTCAGGTCAAATGCATATCCCGGATGGTGGTAACGGAAGTGTGATTACGCGCCCTAAGCTAGAAGATAATCACATATGTGGCTCTATGGTACAGAAACAGATGTAACATTTGATGAAGAGCTCACAAGTTTGAATCCTCACTCGTAGTATCAACAAAAGAAGTGGCTAACCCGGATATTCTTTCTTAGGGCGAAAAAAACAAGAAACGAGAAGAAGCCAATCGCACGACACGCATAATTGACTGCAGCGACAGCAGGTTTGGACTTCAAGCGCGAGGTCCCCATTGACAAACAAGATTGGATTAACGCCTGAATGTGGATGTGTCTGTGGAGAGGTGCAAAAAATTATCAGAAGGTATATTAACGACAAAGAAGCCCATCGCACAACACATTAACAACATTCGGGTTGGATCTAACTAGATGCTTGTCTCAATCTCTATGGTCTGAATTGAACCAACCAACCATCCCATTGAGCCACATACTCGGCTTGCATTCGTAATCTTGTTACAAGGCATTTTTGTTGCCCACTCAATCAACAAGCAATCAAGCAATCAAATCGATCGATCAAATGAATGAAATATAAGAGCATAAACTCGATCAAATCAATCAAAATCAATCGATCAAATTAACGAAATTTGGGAGCACCAATCAATAAATCAATCGAATCAATCAAATCAACGAAAGTTGAGAACATCCAGTCTGATAACTGAATATCTGATCCGCTTGTCAAACTCATCCACACTCCTT